CCCTAAATTTAGGAACACAAAACTCTTGCTATCACATCCTAAAACACAAAACTCTAAAAGCCATTGCATATCTTTTTTGAGGTGATGAAAAGTAAACCTACAAATATGACAAGGTTTTTGTGTTTTAGTGGTGAGTTGAAGATGCCTAATTGTATAAGTAAAAATGGATGTTTTTTGTCGGTAGTTTTTTCACAATGTCATCTGATCGATAAGTTTTTTAAAAAGTTTGACAACAAGCACCATTGTGGATGCTTTTAGCACCAAATTCATGCGTCTTTTTAAGTATTTTAACAAATGGTTATCGACATTAATCGTTTCGTTTTCGTATTATTTATTGCACCGATTGTTATTGTTGATTATATTCTTCAGATGATGATTATGAAGTTAAAGCTCACTTATCCTAGTGGAACTGCTACTGCATACCTTATAAACAGCTTCCACACTCCAAAAGGCGCCAAGTTAGCAAAGTAAGCACTATCCTTCTTCCTTGATTATTTTCAATACTTTCACGGACGTCCGTATCTTGTAGAAGTCTTTTGTAATGGTAATTTTATGTTCTGTTGATAGCTGAAAAAACTAGTTGCTGGTTAATAAGTTAAGTTAGCTGTTTTGATGAATTAGTCATGTTTGGTAAATAAATAACAATGTAAAAAGACCTAAAAAAGATGTTGAAATTTCTTGGCGAAATATGAGGAGCATAACCGGGAAAAAGAGAAAAGAACTCTTGTAGCTTATTGAAAATTACTTGAAGTAATTTTTCGAAAATCTTGCTTCTATGGCTAACCAAACGGGGGTTTTTCAATAACTTGGCACAGGAGGCAAGTCTCGGTGCTATTCAAGTCCTTCTCGTTTAGTTTCGTGTGGGCGTTTTTCCAATGGTTTTTTGCTGCTGGTGACGACTGCGGGTTTGCTAGTTTTCCCACCTTTGGTCTTAAAGCCTATTCCCAAAGGTAAGCATTTCATTTATGTCTCCAAATTTCTTTTTTCTATATCGGTTGATAGTTGTTGAATCTGAATTTTGAATCGTATCGTAGGTTCTATTTTGATTTCTCGTCTACTTACGTTGGTGTCGGAATGATATGCCCTTATATGGTTAACATATCGTTGCTCGTTGGCGCAATTATGTCTTGGGGTATCATGTGGCCGATCATCGAAAGTAAGAAAGGAATATGGTATGCAGCCGATCTATCCGCAAGCAGCCTTCATGGCATTCAAGGATACAGGGTACGATATACAATGGGTCTTATGCATCTTAATAAAATACTTAATGAAACTTCAATTTTACGACAATAAGCACTTAGGACGAAGTTAGTCGATCTAACAAGTTTTATTGACGATTAGCCTTTTATATGATGACATTTTTAAAAATGTCGGATATTTTTCATAAATGTCTTGTAAAAAAATGCTAATATGATGATTTATTTCTTATGTTATATTAAAATATTGTCCAACTTCATCGACAGAACTTGTTAGGTCGTCTAACTTTATCCCAAAAACTTATTATACCATTATCCGTATTATAAACCTAAATTTGTATTAAGCACTCTATTAGTTCTAATGATGGCTATACTTTCTAAAATAAGCCATTTTGTTTTAGCAAAGATTTGCATTTTGTGGCTTTCTCTAATGGCTTATATATATATATATATATATATATATATATATATATATATATATATATATATATGTATCACTGTCCACACAGGTATTTCTTGCTGTTGCCACCATGCTTGGAGATGGCTTATTCCATGTAATCTACATTGCAATTGTGATGTTGTTTAGCTTCATTTCACATAAGTCCAAGATCCAATCTTCATCTCCTCACGAAGATAAACCTGTGAGTTTCGATGAGCAAAAACGGAACGAATACTTCGACAAAGATCAAATCTCAAACTTAACCGCACTGGGAGGCTACGTGATCTTGGCGATCATATCAATAATCGTAGTCCCTCATTTCATCTTCCGACAAATCAAATGGTATCATATGCTCGTAGCCTACATCATTGCTCCGATTCTTGCTTTCTGTAACGCGTATGGCTGTGGTCTCACCGACTGGTCCCTAGCCTCCAACTACGGAAAGCTAGCCATCTTAATATTCAGTGGCTGGGTCGGGCTGCAAAACGGTGGGATCATTGCAGGACTTGCAGCATGTGGGGTGATGATGAATATCGTTTCCACGGCTTCGGATTTGATGCAAGATTTCAAAACGGGTTATCTTACGCTCTCCTCTCCTCGATCCATGTTCTTTAGCCAAGTTCTTGGAACCGCAATGGGGTGTGTTATGTCACCTTTGGTCTTTTGGTTCTTTTATCGAGCTTATTCTGTTGGTGACCCAACTGGGTCGTATCCAGCCCCATATGGCGCGCTTTATCGTGGGATCGCGCTTCTTGGAGTTGAAGGGTTCGGGTCTCTTCCACATAATTGCGTGAAACTGTCGATTGGGTTCTTTCTTGGTGCGTTTCTCGTGAATCTTTTGACGGTAATCTTGCAGCGATACGAGAAAAGATACAGGTTATACAGGTTTATCCCCAGTCCAATGTGCATGGCTATTCCATTCTATCTGGGTTCTTATTTTGCGATCGATATGTGTGTTGGGAGCTTGATTCTCTTCGTATGGGAGAAGATGAACAAGAAGGGGGCAAAGGAGTTGGCCCCCGCGGTGGCATCGGGGTTGATCTGCGGGGACTCGTTGTGGGGCGTGCCGGGGGCGATTCTGTCGATGGCTGGTGTGAAGGCTCCGATTTGCATGAAGTTTCTTTCTGCTTCTACTAACAAGAAAGTAGACAGCTTCTTGGGTGGATGATTTGATTCAGCATCTTGTTCATAAAAACTTGTTACTTGGTAGATTGGATTAGGTTTTGCACAGTGGAATTTGTTGACTGTGAATTATACCATTTTGAATTTTTCAAGTTTGCATGGTTTTATTTATATACGTACATATTATTTTTATGTTATATAATATCAATATTATATAATAATAATAAAAAAATTAAGTGATAATTACTAGTTTATATATGCAATAACTATGTTTTGATTAACTAGAAGGGTAATCGTGTAATGCACCAAGATACATCGTGATTTTATATTTCATTTTATTTTTTATCTCAGTCGATGTTATAATATGACTTTATGTGATTTTGAGAAAGCGAATGATGTTTTTATTTTTGAATAAAATATATGTTTGAAGATATCATAAATTTAACAAAAAAATATCGATATTAGTATCAAATTAATTATTTGAAATTCCTCATTTTTTTGTGTAATTTTTTAATTCAATTTTTTTATAATTTAATTTATGTACAATAACAAAGTAATTTGTATTTGGTTCAATAATATAACTTTCTTATAAAGATAATAATTAATTATTTTGTTAAAACTTGATAATTATCCTAATTATATTTTAGATTTTTTATATTTTAAGATAAGATGTTTATCCTCTATTTGATTATATTTATCCGTAGTTAGTTACACGAATTCAAACATCGCTTTAACAAGTTGTATTTATGCATATTTTACTTGTAATTTTGAATTTAAAATAATATGCATCAATATACAGTACTTTATGCATAAAAAATAATTTTTAAGAGTTTTTATCAAATGCTTTATAATATAGTATAGATATATAAATCATTGTAATATTATGATGGTTAACATAATATTATTAGATTAAAAAATCACACAAAAATAATAATGTTCGGGAAAATCTAGATTTTGAGTAATTAAATTTCTGAACAAATAAATCACTGATTTTTTGAAATCGATTAAATACATCCTTTTAATCTATAAAACCGATTAATGTAGTAAATTTTTTGAATTTTCTGGTTATTTTGCATTAATAAATAAATAAATTAAATGAGTGACATTGTGCAAACCAATTATTGTATTTTTAACGGGATATATATAAATCATAACGTGTTATAATTGGTCATATGAATCGTAATGGTTATAATGTCGTATAAGGTTAAATTTTAATAGGTCATATATATGGGTTGCAATGTATATGAGGTATACTAGATTATACAGGGTTTTAATGAATTATAATAGGTTAAATGGGTTGTAATAAATTATAATTAAATTCGTCACATGGATTTATATGACGTATAATATTAGGTTGTAACGAGTTATAATAGGTAGTATGTGGTGGTAGTGGGCGTCATACAGGGTGTAGTAGGTGCAATGAATCACGATGGGGGATATTACATCGTAGTGGTTAATAAGTTATTATGAATCGTAATAGGTCATATTAGTTCATAACGGTTATAATGGGTCATATGACCCATTACAACACAATATGACATTACAACCAATATAACTTATACATCACCAAGTGACTCATTATAACCTATATGACCTAATTGTAACAATATGTACTGGAAAAAATCAACTAATTTACAACTTTTAATAAACACCATAAAATGGTACAACTTTCTCCCTAAAAGTTAACATTGAATACCTATACACGGTTGGTTTCAAATACAAACCATATAATTCTTCCAGATCTTACAAACCTAATCTCAACTCTTGATTTTGTTTATTTTAAAATTTAGAGACGGTAATAAAATACGGTTGAGAGAAATTTAGGAAACGAAAATCCACGTTGTTGATTATCTACATGTATGGTTGAGATCGGTTTGTAAAGTCTGTACGAATTACATGGTTTAGGTAAAAAGAACTTAATATTGCTTCGATGAAAGTAAGTGCACGTGTCTGTACCTCCATAAACTCTTTGATCGGGTTGGTCTAATCCTTGTACAGACGTCTAGTCTTCATTTTATTACTTTCTAAACTGATCTAATGACCTTTAACCAATACATGGTTTGAAAACTAGGACAGATGTGGGCCCGTAAAGTTCTAGTTTTTTTCGATCTGGTTCTTAATCCTAAACAAAACGGTAAAAAAAAATAACCGAAATAAATAAGGCTATCTTTTCACCCGAAGGTGGGATTAAAGATTTACCCAAAAAAATAGTAGAGCTAATGGTAACCATAAAAATCCTCTGACTGGTAAATATATACATATCTTGAATTCCCTTCCATCACCACTGCTGTCTCCATGATAATTACACAGAAGGTCACATTCCCCTTCATTCCAAGAATATGTACATCATCAGCCAAAAACCTATATATCAATATGCATTTAAGTTATCATCAAATTCCCAGATCAAAGGAAGGACAATCCAAAAGATCCAAATTTTGGTTGTTTGGTTTTTCGTTCATCAACTCGGATTTCGATCTCAATTGTTTTGTAGCTTCTTCCTCCAATGCATCGAGATCAATACCTTGATAGAACTCGTCATCCTCAAATGCATCCATGTTTTCTCCTTGCCATGTCGATTCTTCGCCACCAGTTTCTGGTTTGAAAAAGGTTTCCTTCTCTAAATTACGAATAGGAGGGGACCCACCTTGAGAAAAACTCAACTTTCTTTTTCGGATTCCATTGAGGGTGGTAGAAGAGAACCCCACGGTGTTCAAAGGGACGGATGAGGAATCACCAATCGTGCTCATATGAGAAGTATGAAGAGATGGGTTTGTGATCCCAACTGCACTTCCACTATCATGCATTTGGTCTATAGGAACAGCATTATCGGGACTAAGATCTACGGATAAGTGTGACGATCGCTGTATTGGTGTTTGACTGAGTAAAGACCGTCTGCCATAAAAAAAACATATAAGCGCGAAAAAACTTATCTGCAACTAATGATGAAAAGTCAACAATGCATCAAAATGCAATTTGTCTTGGTTCCGATGTAGTGTAACAATGAACTTTGTTTCTGGATTAGTGTAACAAACAGTCAAATCTTTCTATTTCATACCCATTTTGACCCATAATGATGTGGATGCAAAGTTGTTAAGTATCATGGTAATTATTGACTACGTTGAAAGCACCACATCAAATGTCGCTAATACAATGTCGAATAAAAACTCGTTTATCAGGTAAAATAGGTATGGAATAAGAAAAATTGAAGGTTTGTTACACTAAAAATGTAAACTTCGTTATATTTTGACCTTATGAAAAGCAAAAATTGCATCTTTAATACAACCACTATCATACAAGTGGGGATAGAACTCGAAATTCAAGGGAACAGACCTATAAAGAGCCATCATATCACATTCAGCAGCTTCCGCCTGCGTGCTTGCCACCGTCGGATTTATCCTGTCATCTATGAAACTACCATCGTAAGAATCTTGCCCGTTATCAACATCCTCATCACCAGATGCTTCAGACGACACCCTGAGATTTCATCAACCACCTTTTTAATTTCAATGACATATTCAGGCAAAATCCAATGGATGATATTTTGTATTGAACAATGTCCTTGCTCATAGAAATAACAAGGGCAAAATGTATGAAAATGCAACATGCTTTGATCTGATTCCTGTTTTGTGGAACTTACCTTCATTATTCATTATGGTACCTCAGATGTGATATCTCGAACATTTAGACCAAAATATGTTGCACAAAATAGGAATCAAACCAAAGTAACACTGCATTTTCTAGCAATTCTCATATGTAAACCAAGTACCTAAATGCTTAAGATGTCAAATATGAGGTATCAAAATGAAGATTTTGAAAGGTACGTTACAAAAAATACGAACCACACCAAAGGAGGTTGCATTTTCATGCAGTTTGCCCAAATAACAATGTGAAAGTAATGAAAACTTTAACATCCTCGATATAAGCACGGACTTACTCAGCTTCGTCTTCTATAAAAACTCTGGCATCATTAAAAAGCTTCTTGTCACCTGGATGAAAATATAAATGTCAAGTGGCAATGAGTGCCTCATACAAAAAAGCACCATAAACGCTTGAAGATTAAGCCCTTAAAATTTGAATTTTACCTCTACGATGCATATGAGATGCATGATCCAATCGAGCACAAGATCTACCAGAAACTGATGTATGGCCTGCAATTTCTTCCCTATCTGACAAATTCCTACTTTTGGTATCACCATACTTACGTAACCTTTTAAGCCTATGCTTTGGTCCACTAACGGATTTTTCCCCTGAAGTTAAAATCCAATCTTTACTACAACTATTATCATACAAGTTTGTCACAGGAGTTCGGATTTCTCCCTTAGACTTGGAAGCAGAAATGCCCTTTTCTGAAGAACCATTCACTAAATCAATTCTCGGAGTTTGTATTTCTCCCTGCATACATTGAGCTGCAACATTTCTTCTATTAGGAGTACTCTCCTCGGCTCCTTCATCGTTCTTACTTTGGACCAATGATATGGGGGCATTGGGGAGCATATCAACATCTGGAGTCGTGCAGTTACCTTTCAATTTACTTGATGTGCCTGCACAAACTCAAATTTGTTCACTAGAGTATATTCTCTTGCACCAGTACATATACGTAACAGAAAGAACTTTCAAGATTGTTCTTCATCAATAGGTCAAAATGAATCAAAATGCACCAAAGTTTGGTTTAGTTCCCATCTAATGTTACAAAGAACTTTTTTACTCAATTGATGTAACAAAGTTTCAAAATTTCCTATTTTATACCCATTATGAACGATAACCTGCTGTTCTTGTAGCATTTGATGACGTGGATACCCTTTACGAAAGGTTTATGAAATGTTAATGAAAGGGTTATGGCAAAGTGAACAATAAACTTGACATCCACGTCATCAAGTGTTACAAGATAAGCAGATTACCGGTAAAAATGGGTAAAAACGAAGAACTTTTGAAAATTCATTACATTGATTGAGAAAAAAAATTATTTGTTGCACTAAATAAAAATTAAGGCAAACTCCGTTGCATTTTGCTCTCATCAAAAATAACCATTATGTTGATAATTGACCATTACTGTAATTTAGAGATGGGCATGGACTGGTCTTACAAATCAGGTCTGGTCAAAACCATCCAAAAAAGCCCAGTCCGCCCTAAAAATCTTTGGTCTGATATGGTCCGATCAGATGCTGTCATGGTCTGGACCGAAGGGTCTGGTCTTTTTGCCCATCAAAATAATATTGAAAGCACATAATTGTGGGGTGAAATACTCACCATTATCTATAGGGGACTCTGGAACAACACCACACATCAGTAGATTTGTTAGTCGGGGACTGAGATCAGCAGCTCTAGAATCGGTGCTTGATTCATCAGCTGAATGAGTGCTGTCTACAACAGCACAAGGATTCTCCCTGGTGTTAAATAACTCTATATTAGAAATTTCTGTCTGCAGAACTCTACCTTCTCCAGCTAGTTTGTCCTCTCGCAAGTCATTGGTGTTCTGTGAAGATGTCACGAGATCATCATTTCCTTGGCTTCTTACCAGGGTAGTAGAAACACCATATACATCCAATGTTGTCCCGGGGTACTCTCCACATGGAACTTTTACAGGATTAATATCAGACTTCGAACAGTTCAGAAACAGGGTGTTCCGTGGACTATAACTTTTAGGCGGAGAAACTTGTTGCAGAGGAAACGACGGTACAGACAGAATCAGAACGGTTCCAAGTGAATCAACAGACATAAAATCCGACCCAAACAGAAAAGAGTGGATGGGAGGATCTTGGGATCGAACAGGAGGGCAATTGTGTTTCTGCTCAGTTCTGGAGGTGTCCAGAAGAATATCACTTTCAAGTTCTTCTCGTATCGTATCATCTTCTGCAAACATAGCAAATCCAACATGAAAAGCTTGAATCATGAAGCACTATTTAAACAAATGTATCTTCCATAAAGCAAGAAAATATCAGAGACAATTATCACATTTAATTATTCATGGAAGGATGGCTTATAAAATAATTTGAGTGCCAACAACAAATTGGCTAGGTCAGGAGAGAGAGGAGTATGGCATTATCTATAACCAACACGCAAAAGTTACCCAAATAATAAACCACGTATTATGCCTGAAAGAAATGAAAAACTGAAAACACAAGTATACTTCCTAAGAAAAAACTCGAGATATATACACATACATATATATGTGTTTGTATTTGACACAGACAGAAAGAAATCTATTATAAGAACTAATCACTAAGTATAATTTTTCCCGAGTTCCTACCTTCTTGTCAGCTTCGTATTTTTATGTATACTAGTCCTAGCCATGCTAGTATTATAGAAACAACTTTGATGCCAACAATATTGGGCACTTAAGCCTGCCCACAGTTTTTTTATTAATATATTCACTCTTTTCTACAACCAAAAGCCATGAAACAGAAAGTACAGAACAGTTTTGCCTGGGCCTGGAAGAGGTGGAAGGCGAAAAAGACATGGCAAAACAGCTTGACAACTAGTTTCATATACTGTACTATCAAGAAATATTAGCTAAAGCATGTATGATATGCATGATCTTGTAATAATGGCACTAAATAAACTCAACACTCGGTAGTAAATCAAGTTTCCACAGCGAGGGAATACATCATCTTATTAGAATAATATTCATAGGTATGCATCTTATTCAAGGCCCAATAGAGTTAAACTATTGAGTACCCTATTTCAGGTCCTTATTTATCAAGTAATTACTTGAAAGAGCATTTCTTAAATAAAAATTCTGCCTTTAAATTCACCAATGTCACAAATATACTAATTGATATGAACCACACAACCCTCAAGCCTTTTCTGTTACCTCCTGTATTGCTATTGTGATGCTCAACGCTTTCAACTCTGAAGCTGTCTGCCAAAGTCTCTTCATCCTGAAGTAAAAGAACAGAAAAAGACGAAGTCAAAATGACAGATAAACACATGCCTGGCTAGTTGCGCTGAGCAGTTGAAACTTGCTCAAGAATCTCGTAACATAGAGGTATGAGTTTGAACCCCACACTTAGGTATTGAACAATGAATTACCAGGATATGTAAGTGGACAGATGGTAAAATGTCACCTCCTCAATGTGTTTTTTCCAAGGTTTATAGATAAAGACAATAAAAGCGACAACGTTTAGAAAGAGATAAGTACAAACCCAGCCGTCGAAGGATTTACTATGGTTAGGAATTGGTAACCCTTGCAAACATTGCATTGTATCAATTAGCATCCTAGTTCTCAAMGAATGAGCAACTTCATGCACTCTTGATGGGAACGCTTGGAAGTGAGGGAAAGCGATAAGAGACGGCCTCCAATTGTTTTCTCTGGAAGGGTGAAAATACTTTGCAATCAAATCAGTCTCAGCATCGGTAAGTTTAGCTTTATATTTGGGTGTCTGAATGTCATTGTCGTCTTTCACTTTCTTTCCACGAGGAACAAATTCTTCAATTAACAGTTTGACAAGCCTTTTTTCAGGTCTAACAACATGTGGAACCTGATTGGAGAATTACAGAGCACAAAATATTAACAAACTCCAAGTTAAGCTAATTCATGATCAAATAGTTGGCATTTCCAAACAATAAATCTTACCATCCTTGGACTAGAGTGAAAACGGAAACTATTCATTCCTCCATTTACCATATGTTTTTTAATAACCTTGCTGCTCGCTTGCTTTCTCATATAACCCTTTATCTCTGTGCCTTCACAAGCTAAGACCAGTATGTTTGTTAAGGAACTCTTATATAAATAAATGTTATCATTGCTAATCCCAAAAGCATGCGCTTATTGTAGGATGGGCATGGTGAAACAACTTTATCATTGCATGATCCTGCGATGAAACAAATAAGACAAAATAAAAGGATATCAACTCGTCCTTCATTCTTCCTACCAGTTCTGCCCATGCGCTGAATCATCCGCAAAGGTGAGACATTAGCATCAAAACATATAACGAGATCAACTTCCATGATATCTAGGCCTTCTTCTCCAATTGACGTCGCGACAATAACATTGAATTGACCAGCCCGGAATTTCTATAACAATTTCAAAAGATAAAGCAACACTACAAAAAACATGAAAAAACCAGAAGGAAAATCAAAGTTGGAAACCGTTACCTCTAAAACAGCCTGCTGTTCTTTTTGTGACTGGCCCTTGGATCTTTTACCTGTGCAAAAATACAATATAAATAAAAAATTCTGAGTATTCACCACATCTATATATATATAATATTATATATATATAGAGAGAGAGGTGGGTTATTATACAACCCCTTACATTTGTACAACCAATACAACTCAATCTCAACMGTCCATTTAATTTGATGAATATGTRATTTCATARAWDTTTTGATTGTTTCCTAATATAAAGTATTGATCATAATTAATGAACCTTATTCATCTTCCATAAATATGTAAATCATAATAAATGAACTCTCATAATTTCCATTAATATTTCAATTTCTTGGGTTGCATTGGTTGTACAAATGTGATGGGTTGCATTTGAAACAATGATGGCAGTTCCACAATCAATCATTGAAGCTGAAATTACTTTAGCTACATCATTTATCAAAAAGATTTCTGTTCTTTTAGGCAAGTTAGCACAAAGTGACTACCCTAATCATGAGAATAAAGAAGAAAGTGCATCTATGGTCTAGGCATAATACTTCAAGAAAGATAAAGAACATAGATGATGACAATTCCATTCCCACTAGCTTGTTCGACCTTCATCATGAACTTATTTAATCATGTACCAAGCAAAAGTCTACCACATCATCTACCGAATTCTGCTTGTGTCTCACTTTCATGTGAATACCTAGATTACCTGCTAACTCCATAGTCTACCATCCCCCTTGTCTCTTTATCCCATTTATATAGAAACATATAGAAAAGAATCACCAAGAACACACGCTAAATTATATAAGAAACTATTAAATTTCAGAATACAGTATAGAACTAACATACAATAGCAAAGTGATTAGTGAAAAGGATTTCGAGTGCCCTCTAAGGTAAAAGAGAAATACTGAAAAAATTCCTAACCTGAGCTTTGGCCGATAAATTCTGTAGCTTTAACATATGTCCCGATGGTAGCTAATGAATTCATGATGTCCCTGAAAATAGTAAGATGTATATTTGAAACTTTAGATGAGCTTGAAATTTCACCGCCTGCTAAGCATGTTTATCGCTAAAATCAAAATAAATGAGAGCTCAAGATATTCGCATATCTTGACCTTACACTTCCTCTAAAATTTGAGAAAATGATGACCCTCGACTTCTGTGGATCTTGTGTTTCTGCATATGCAACAATTGTCAGAATCTCCAAAAAATAATATGTTATTCCTCTTTAAATGATTTATTAGATCTCTCTCTAGATAATATTTTCTCCAACATGCACTCACATGGAAAAAATAATCATTTTCTTTGCTTTCACTAGTCTATACTCGTTAAATAGCACTTGTTAGTATTGTGCTTGATCAATTATCCCTATTTCCTTGGACTTGTTATTACAATTCAGTGTACCATTTCACATTTTGCTTTATTATAGAGATGGCTCTGTTTTGTTCTGCAACATCCACATCAAAGTTGGATGATGCTATCGAAGAAGGATCATTGTCTTAATTAGGTATACTACTGGTTGTCTGGAATTATTGGGGTTGTTTGGTTTGAGGTACAAGAAAAAACTGTGATCAAGAATGGTAAGGCTGTAGTGCATGTTGCAGCCTGTAAACTGTTTATGGTCAAACAAAAGAATGAACCGATGAGATGGTTGTCAGTATCCAAACAGCGATACTGGAGGGGGTGGCAACAGCGGTAGTGGTGGCGATAGCGGTGGCAGTGGCAACGGTGGTTGATAGAAACGAGAACAGAATAATCAAACAGCAAACTAAAACAAAGGGTTAAGTTATTTGATTATCGGATTCAATAAGATTGAAATGACAAAATCAAGAGGAAGCGATGAACGGCCTTTCCTCCTGCCCAAGCTTTCACAGCCGGCCGAATACTCTAGAACTATAATTCTTGTCTGCCCTCCCTATTACTAACCCATTAGTATTTATAGTATTCCAAGGCTCGGTCTGATCATCTACAATTGGCTTGGGCTAGTGGGCCATTCCTCATCAATGCCGCCGTGTTGAAGAGCAGGCTTGTCCTCAAGCCTGAAATCAGGGAACCGAGTCCAAATGGCAGTTGCATCCTCCCAAGTAGCTTCTTAGCCATGTCTTAACTGAAGGTTGACTGTAAGGTGACGAGGAGACTCCCTGCAACTGAACAAGGGTTTCATCTTTCCAGGACTGCCTTTGTTGGGTCTGCCAATTAGAAACTATGTTGCCCAAGGTTCCTAACCATGCTGTGCAAAGAATCATGTCCAAGGATCCCAAATAGTAGACCAAAGCATCTACGATACAAGTAATGGTCCCCCAGTTGTATTGAGACCCCTTGGCATACTTCAGAGATGCGAACTCGGGTACCACCGCCAAAACAGATGGAAAGAGGGTTTGTTTGTCGAATTTCCAGTGCTAAAGCCAATGCTAACTGTTTCGAGATGAAGTTATGTGTTGCCCCACTGTCAACCAAAATTAGAGCGGGTACACCGTGTAGTTCCCCAGCTAGTTTAAGTGTCTTCAAGGACGGAGAAAGGTCTGATGCAAATCCATAGAACTCAAGGGCATTACACTCACCATCTAAGACTGGATCATTGTTTCCCTTTTCCTCAAAACAACGAACTTCACCACCCTCTCCCAATTCCTCGCCGTTGGCCAACAAAATCACCCTGAGTTGTCCCTCGGTGCACTTATGTTGGGGAGAATATTGCTCCCCCCTCCCTCCCCCAACTGAAACACGGCCCACATTTGCGTCTATCTTCCCATTCTTGCTTCGTTAGATATTGAGTTCCTGAGTAGTATCGGTTAACGGGTGTGTTTTTAGTAGCATCGAAGGGTTTAAGTTGAGTTTGGCCCGTATGAAAATTGAGCCGATTGGACTAAGGGTAGGTTGAATTAAGGATGGTGGGCTTATCTATGCATTCACCGAATCTCGTTGAGTGTATTTCCAGGAATAATTCAGTCTGCCAGTTCCATTATTGAACGACGTTTTACCACTCATATTGGTCTTAACCCCATGGCAGTTGCTAGGGCTACGTGATGGGCTAGATCCATTGCTTGATCACAAGTATGTGGGTTGAGAACCCTAACCCAATTCTTAATATCGCTTTGGAGGCTACGAAGGAACATCCCTATAGATTGAGTTTCTTACTGATTTGGAATAAAGGCTGAGAGAGCTTCAAAATTCTTGATATATTCATCAATATCCTCTTCCTAGTAAGTGATCCCAACACTTCATGTGCGTTGTGGAATTTAGTTCCACCAAATTGGACCATCATTTCGTTTTGAAATTGATCCCAAGTGGTGTGTGGGTGTTTGATTAGAAGATTAGTAAACCAATTAAGGCAGATCCATCCATATACATTTGAATTAATTTTAGTTTCTGAGAGAAAGGAGTTTCATGAACCTAAAATAGAATTCGGCTTTAGTGATCCAACCTCTGGGATTGACGCCCTCAAACACGGGAACTTTCACCTTAGGCATCGAGAAAATGGGGGTTTCAAAGTGATTGTTCCTGATGAAGGAACCCAGGCCATGATCGAGATTCTTCTCACTGGAATCATAACCGTCATTCTCCGAAGTTCTCTTGAACACTGATCCCTCCCCTTCTTTGTAATTCTGTCATTTGCCCTGATATTTTAGGTAATCTGTCGCCAACTTCTTGAGAGATTTGGGCAATTTTGAGGATCTCCTTGATGGAGTTGACCGACGAGGACAGACTCTTCACCTGATTAGAGAGGGCTTCGATTTTTCCATCTTGAGCATCAATCCTTGATTGGAATCGTGTGTTCACATGAGTCTCTGGAGCAACCGTCGTCTCCCTTGATTGTTGGATTTTTCACACGAGAACAAAATAATCAAACAGCAAACTAAAGCAAAGGATTAAGCTATTTGATTGTCGGATTCAGTAAGATTGAGATGACAAAATCAAGAGGAAGCCAATGAATGGCCTTTCCTCCTTCCCGGGCTTTCACTACCGAATACTCTAGAAACCATAATTCTTCCATGCTTTCCCTATTGCTAACCCATTAGTATTTATAGCATTCCAAGGCTTGGGATGATCATCTACAATTGGGCTTGGGCTAGTGGGTCATTTCTTATCGGTGCTGACATCCATCATGATGGGATGGAACGGAATGGAGTAAATATAAGTGTATAATAGTTTTTACTTAAAAATGGTACGAAGGAATTGAAATTCCTTGCTAAAACCCAAGAAATTTACATTCCACCATATGTGGAATTTGAATTCCTTAGCAAACGTCAAAGGAACCAAATGCGGGAACGGAATTTGGTCAGCGGGATTGCCATTCCAATTCCTTCAGATTCCAACGAACCAAACGCCACCTGAAAGTTTTACATGACGTTTACTGGACCATCTACAAAACCAGAGAAAAATGTTTTGATACTCTAGAATTCACTAGAAAATGTACCTAGTATCTTCTTGTATCGTGTAATATTGTCTAGAAGCAACCAGACTACTCTTGATAGCCAGAATACTCTGGATACTTGTAAGTGTTTTGTAGATAAAATAGAACATCCTAAATTCATGTACCCAAGGAAATCTTGTATCTCGGACTCCGTATAAAAAGGTGGAGTCTCATTTCCAATTCATCCAACAAACAATCAATTAATACAACAAAGCATTTCTCAAAAAACTCATGTCATTTCAAAGTTATTTGATCCCAGTTCTTCCATTAAGCCCATTCTCAAGAAACTACAAGGCTGACTTAGTACATTCAAGGCACAAAGTATCAAGGTAAGATTGATCATTAAGAAGTATAAAATAACCCGTTAAACAAGTGAAATCAGAGAGAAGGTCTACATGTAGCAACAAGCAATAGGCGGTAAAAGGAACGACAACAAAGAGCAAATGTTTTTGCAACAAACCGAGAGCAACCCCCCTATTGAGTACAAGGAATGAAAATATTGGCAAGAAGTATGCACCCTGAACTCATGGAAGGACTTCAAGCAAAATATCAATACACAAATGTATAACAACATTGAGTACAAGGAATGAAAATATTTTTGTCGGCCAACACTTGGATATTATCAGTGAATAAGTTTTCATAAATTTACTTTGCTAATGCTGGAAATCCCATATATGTTGCATAATGAATGATCTCAATTCCTAGGCCAAGACTAAGCTTCAGCAATGTAGAGTCCAAGATCTCGCATCCAAAATAATCGAAGTAGGGTCCTTGGTAGACTGAGTATAGAAAAGAGCCTCTAACTCACAACAATTCACAACCAAGCTACAAAAAGGGTGGAAGAGGCAAGCATAATTGCATACAAGCAAGTAACCTCAAAAAGACTAAAGCACATCAAAAGCCTCCACCTGCAAGGGTTATGTGTGCAAAAAACATTGATTAAAGGATGCCTAAAACTAAGAGAACTCGCTTCCATGCCAAGATTGCTCGTGAGAAAAAGAGGCAGTTGAGAAACAAATTGGCTCAATCCAGGTCCACACTCCACAACACTATACATGCCTAGCATGAGAAACCATAGAGGAGGATCATTTTGGTGGATGCTCGAGTCAACGGCCGACAAACAAAAGCCTTAACGGCCGACAATCACATAATTTTATCACGAATGTAAAAAGCTAGAAGATTGGACCTAAAGATACATGCGTAGAAAAATCAAACAGAACCATGAACCCTAAGGCAAAAGATATGCTCAACATTACTAGGGGAGTGACCATCTAGATTGGTCCAAAGAACGGTAACTTCAATGTTTTAATAGTTCCAAATCACTATCAGCTAGTCCTTGAGATATATTTCTTTAACAAAGCAAAAATGACCCTCCTACCATCAATGAACTCTATTGCATCATGCAGACAATAACACAAATCAAGGCCCATCTCAAACGAGATGCATAGACAAGGCACAAAAAATATGCATTATGTATGTATGTAACAAAGAATCAAGACACAAGTGTCAACATAGAAGATCCCATAGGAGATCATGCCGAAATTGTCATGGAGCAAGTGAGGATAAATGTCATTGGCCACTTGTTCTCCATGAGATTTACCAGCACCGCACACATGGAACCTACTAGACCACAAACAATACTCCCACAAAGAAAAATGCTTGAAGACTATAGAATTAACTATGAAACCGTAGAGTTATAAAATGTATTCTATGCCTACTTGTATCTTGTAAAGTTGTCTTGAAATCTAGGTTGCTCTTGATACTTATAACGAGTTAAGAGTATTGTGTAGAATAACCTAAAATTTCTTAGACAATCATGTATCTAGAGAATTCTTCTATTTAGGATGTTCCAAGACCTCTATAAATAGGTGAAGTGTCTCATTTGTATTCCATCCAACAAACAATCAAGCAATACAACAAAGCTTTTCGTAAAAAATATCTCTCACGCATTCTTTCAAAGTTTTTCTGCAAGTAATTCCATGAAGCCCTTCAAAAATGGCAATGTTGACTTGGTACTTCTGAGATGCAAAGTACTAAAGTCGCATGAGTCATCAAGCAGTAAACAATAGCCTAGTGATATAAAGCTCTAAAAGGCTTGCATTTGGTCACCACCACTCAAATTGACCAAGTTTAGTTTTAAGTTCATAACAATTCACACATGCTTATGATATACAATTCCAAACACATGGGAGAGGTTAAAAGTAGCCGGTCTTCAAACGGCCATGTGTAATTGGTAAGGTTAACAATAGTTGACCTTCAAAAGGCCCACGTATAATGAGATAATCTAACTTGTAATGTAATTTTCCAATTAATTGTCTCATATCCCAATGCATTACATGAAGTGTGAGAAGTTGGACAGCTTTCCTTTTAAGTTCATAAGTAAAGTTAGCAACGAACATAAGCAACATCAAGTAAAGTTAACTCTCAACATTGAAACATCACAATAAGTCGAAAAAGAAAAGAAAAAGGACATGTGACGTACTGAAGTGTTCAATCAATACTTCTATCATCTTTGTGAACTTTGGACTAAGAACGCCATTAGACACGTTTTTTTCCATTATACCCTTTACTTTCTGAAGAGCTTCATGTGAACTCAAAAGGCGAAGAGACCTGAAAGTTGATCAACGTTAGCACGTTTAAAGACTTAAACATGTCAAAACCTCTAGTCTAACCAAAGCAAGAAACCAAAAAAAAAAACATATAAATTCACAACTTTAACTTAAACTTTTATAGAAACGTAAGCATTTCTTGGCTAGAAATCACTATCGTGTTTGGTGTCATGAGACAAATTGGTTCGGTTGATACAAGACCCAAACTTATTACCCGAATGAAACCCCTTTCACATATCCATACCATTCATCACAAAAAATGTGAGCCTTGTCCACAACAATTGATTAAAAAAAAACTTAAATACACATTACCTATCTTGTAACCTTTTTATGGTTGAAGGTTTTACAAATTACAACCACGTCACACATTTATATAGGTTCACGATAAAATACATTTAGATTAAACAAGTCAAAATCAAAATTGTAACTCAAACTAATATCACATTATCACGCATAACAAAGATAAGTAGAAGTTTAAAACGAATAGAATAATCCAAAACATAATGAATAGTTTGGTTCAATTCAACCTTAGAGACACCAAATATATGTGTACATGTATAGTATTGTATATATGTACAACTTGGGTATAATAGTAAAATAAATTTTCAGTAATTACTTTTGGTTGTTCATGAAATGGGTTAGAAGGGAAGCCCCAAACTAAACCACCCCAAATAGTTGTTTTTCAAGTATAACCCAGTTTGCTCCATAATTCATGTATAATTAAGTCAACTGAATACCGATCAAATTGATGCAGTTTAGTTTGCTTTCACACAATTTAAGATGGGATGTTGCTTCTACTTTGGCAGTAACAAAGAAATATAATTCAATTTGCATGATTAGGACAATCTCACCACTACAAGAGAGAAAGGATCGAAGTTTTTTTGCTTTATTAAAAGATCTCGATGAACTTCTAATGAGATTACCCATGGATGCCTCCGGCATCCACGGGTCACGGTATGCATGCAAAGGAGATTGAATATATATATAGAGGGAGGATCAAACGAGAATGCTAAACAATTAGAAGAATACGCACGGTCAAATCACGTGCAAAATCACATGTGATTTTACATTAACGGCCAAAAAAGTTAGCAAGTGACCCTATGGCCGCGTGGCAAGGTCGTGTGTCGAGGTCGTGTGAATCACTTGTGATTTTGTACGTGATGTTATTCCGCCGTCTTCTTAATCTCTTAAATAGGTATTGTTCTCGTTTGAACCCAACTCTCTCTCTCTCTCTCTATATATATATATATATATAGAGAGAGAGAGAGAGGGGGAAGGTTCAAATAAGAAAGACAAAAAGGTTAAGAATGTACGAATAAATTAGTCATATGTGCATCATTGGTAAACCCAAAAGAAATCCATTTGAAGATGCATATTAGAACCTACGTTCTCTTACCTACATTTTTACCAATTATTAACATATGAAGATGCATACGTGAGCCAACGTTTGCTACCTACATTTTTACCAATTATCAACATATGAAGATGCATATGTGAACCCACGTTTCCTTTTACCACGCACATATGAATCATTTATTCATACGTAGTTAATCTTTTTGCGTTTCTTAATTGAACCTCCCTATATATATAGGGCAGGTTCAAACGAGAACACTAACTATTTAGGAAAACAAGAAAAAGATCGTTAATGTACAAAATCATATATGATTCACGTACAAAATCATACATGATTCATATATATATATATATATATATATGTATGTATATATATATCACGTACAAAATCATACAAGTTCAAAAGTCGTTCGCTTCCATTTTTTTGACATTAATGTAAAATCACATGTGCTTTGTACATTAACAACCTTTTCTTGTTTTCTTAAATAGTTAGCGTTCTCGTTTGAACCTTCCTCTCTCTCTCTCTTTCTCTCTCTCTCTCTTTCTCTCTCTCTCTCTCTCTCTCTATATATATATATATATATATATCCTTATGTGCATGTACTATATACATATATTCACCAACCAAGCTTAAAGCTTAATATGAATTGTTCTAATAATTGCCTATAAAGCTTGCTTGGAAGTCAAGTAGGGACCTTTTGCTATTTGTGGTTAACAATATAGAATAAAAGATTGACAAAAATGAGAGCCTTAAGCAACATAGATTGGCACCATGAGTGACACCTTGAGGACTCAAAAGTAAGCCCTTAGGTCAACCATTAAGGAGAGAAGATATTTACCAATAATGGTGGTCGCAAAGTGCAGCACAAGCATGACACCAACTTAAATCTGATCCATGGCATGTTGTGCTTGCCATTTATAAAAAAAACAATGAAGTGGAAGTACATGATAAAATATTTCTTGAAGTGACACGGCTAAATCATAAAATCTTGAGCTACCGCTTTGAACAAAAACACCACAAATTGTGACCAAGTTAATAAACTAAGGGTGTAAGTCTTCCACAATTAAGCAACCATGATCAAGTAATCAATAAATAGAAAAGAGTCCATCACACAATAGTGTAAGTGGGTTTCAACTAGACTACGGGTTGTTATTTTAGTAGAGCCTAGGTCAGAAAGCTGCACAAACTAGATCATCCTATACTTTTTAGAAACACTTTGTTTTACTATAAAATATTTAAGCATACCAAAGAGAAAAGTAGAGCCTAGGCCCTAGATAAGCAACTTCGTGAGAAAAAAAAAACCACTCATAAAGAAAGAAAACTTGTTTGCTGCATAGAAGAACTTGCAAAAGAGAAATGGTCACAGAAAAAGTATTTCCGAAGAAAGCACCATGTGAGATGATGATTGGAGAGAAATAAATAAAATGTTAATGTTGAAGGCTTACTTGTTTAGAGAAATAAATAAAATGTTAATGTTGAAGGCTTACTTGTTTAGAGAAAAAAATACATTATAGGCTCAACATTAGGTCTTGTTTGCTTTATTGTTATGTATTCTTGTATTGTATTGTAATTCTATAAGTTCAATAGGACATAATCACCGTATAACAGAATGAATGGTTCAGATTTTAATTTGATTAACCTAGACTCAAACTTTGAATTGTGATTGTATCATGCTAAGTTTGGCATGGCTTTGAGCATAGGCTCCATGACACATTTCATTTCCTATGTTCTGACATCCTACATGGCAAGGCACCACTTTCAAAATGTACATTGTCTTGCTTCATTATGTGAGCCTTGATAACTCAAGACAGTCAATATAGACTTGAGCAGTGGAGTTCCTAAGAAGGTGGCCATTAAATAGGAACGATAAAGCAATGTAATCATGTTTCATAGTTCTTCGAGGTTTTGATTAACTAAATTGTAAGATATCATAACTTTTGATCTGTAGCCTAATCCACAATTAAGTCAAAATAAAGCTTCTTGCTTGTTTTTTTGTTGGTCGAGGCTTCCAAACTTTTTCAGTGAAAAGATTATAAGAAACAGAATCGCTGCTTAAGAATAAGATCTACAAGAAGATACCCTTGCTCCAATTTTTCTTTAAGCATCTCATATGCTGGTGCTACGCCATGAACTGATAGCAGCTTCCTTATATGATATAGTGTAATCAGGGCTCCAAAAATCCCTTCTACTTCCCGATACTTGAATTGAGGCAAGTCATGTGGCGGAGCTTGGCGAAATTTGTCCCTTGAGTTGAGAAAATCACATGGGCTGAGCTGCCAAGATAAGATGAACAGGCCAGTCACTACTGTCCATATAAGCACAAGGCATGCTCATTCTAATAGTTATTTGACCAAAACAAGCTAAATAAATAGGTTTGGATATTACAGTTGGTAATACTCATATATGAAAGTACTTGTACGAAGAAAAAAGTTTCAATCAGATGCATTTGCATAATCATGAAGAAAAAATCGTGAATACCAAAATTTTAATCAAGTTAAAGAACAGGATAGCATGTTCATTACATTCACAATTAGTATATACTATAGTGATAGCAAACACACCATACATTTGAAGAACCTAGAAAAGGTTATCTTTTCGCACGCTCATTAGATAACAAAAAAGAAGTATCTTTATGTTTGGGTAAATCCTTCAAATAAAAATCCATAGCAGCCATTTTCAATTTACTTTGATAGAATAGCATCAAGAATAGAAAACATAAAAAAGGCAAAATTGCATTATTAAAAAAGTAAATGAAGAATCCTACAAGAAAAAATCTTACTGTTTGGATGTCTCTTTTCGGAAGAACTCCCATGGCAGAAAGCCTAGCAACAGATGGTCGTATTACATCCATTAACAGACTATTTGCTTCAAGAGCATCTTTTCCCATCGCAACCTAGCAGCATTATAGCAAGAATCTTGAATGCTTTGAAAAAATTCCTTACAGGTTTGGCAGCTTGACATGTACCTGTATTAGTTCAATCTTCCTATCATGCACATATGGAGTCACATCAGGATCGCTCTCACTTCGATGCTCAAGAGAAGATATTTGCAGGTTATCAATAACTTGCTGGACAGTCTGATGATTAGCTGAATAGTCACAGATAACATCGTGAATTAAAAGATAAGACCTACAAAATAACTTTGTGAAGGTCAGGCTGATCGATAGATGACTTACATCCTGGTGTTGCAGTAAGAGCTAATATTCTCAATTGTACCGGAACAGCCATCAACTATGAGCAAGAGAAATCATAGCATCTCAAAGTCAGAGATACATATTGGATGTATTGATGGCAGAGTAAAGACCGCAATCACAGAGAACCCCTTATCATTTGTTTGATGTATTCTCACATTCAATCAGTAAAATACAGAAACAATGAGAGGAAGTCGGATGATTATGATAGAGTATTTCCAGCAATTTGAGAAGCTGGTGGGTCTCCCAAGCTCACACCAAAACAGAATACAAAGCAGATAACCGTCCCTACATGCCTCTCACCTATTTAACAGACTCTTAAAGCTACTTCTCCCTTTTTACGCCTTGTAACAGAATACTCTCAGTTCCAATATTGCCCTTCCCCTATTAACTACTGCTATTACATCCTTACTAAAACCAACTACCCACTCTACCCTTTACTCCCACTAGCAAACGTAACCAAAAACATATTCCAGGGTATAACACTATTACAATCAGGACAGAGAAATGACATACCTCACGAACAGCCACACAGTAGGAATAGTTGCCAGATGCACGGTGAGCCTCGTCAATCACCAAACACACTAGTTGTTTTACCACACATGATCCTGCATTATACCATTTCCATAAGAAACTAGAAAGAGAATACCAATTCCACATTTTAAGTATCTAGAAGAGCTAAAGTATTGCAGGCTTTGAGATATGTCTTCACATGAGATCGGAAAAATGATGAATTTTTTTTTCATCACATCACCATGATACTGAGAAACAAGACTAGAGTCAAATTCAAACATACACACGATTGTGACACAAATCAATTCGTCCATAAGTAATCATTACGTATAGAACAAAATAGTCATCAGCTTTATGGTAAAGCCTATATGTGCCCTTCTATGTTTGCTGTTCACTTATATGTGTATAATTATCTTTCAAGATGCTTCTGTTTTGGGGGGAAGCCATTCTAATGTTAAGCTAACAAAAACAATAATGATGTATCCCATCAAGTTAACAAGAAAGGAAAATAAATCAAAGAGGCTGTTTTGACAGTTTATCATGTTTAAAATCTGTATAAGTTATGCAGCACGCTATTTCACTGTGCAGGCCATTAAATTCCATAAGTCAAGTTAAAGACTTTATATTACATCTCTTATATATGGTATCGGTCTGAAAGGTAAATAACACCATCTAGTTTTGCAGTCTGTCATATATGTGGCACTACATATACTTGCTACATTATTTCCCAGACAGTATGATAATCTTCCGGTCAACAGAGAGTAAATGATATTATCTTTTTAAAATTGGTAATCATGATATAGTATGATCAAACAAGGACACATTTAACAGTGTCATGTTTCCATATATTTAGGCATACATACTTCATACTCTTCTCATTAGGTTTATTCCCCCATTTAAGGTCTAAAATTTATCAAGAAAATCCTCTTATAATGCCTGGAACCAGATTCCACCAATATATCTTATGATATTTAGCACAAGCAGCAGCATGCTGATATATAAAACCTGACAGAACTCTAAAGCCTGGCAGGAACTCCACAGTGTGTAAAACCAACAGAATAGGATTTTAGAGACTTACCAGACTGTATATCCTTTTCAAGAACTTGTGGGGTAACAAAGAAGATTCGTTTAGCTTTCCAAAGGTCTGCTCTTTTTGCGGGAGTTGTTTGACCTGTCATATCAACTGTCCATTCCTGCAATCAATTTGATATGATAAAATGGAAAACTAGAGTAAGAACCTGAACGTCGTATTTCAGAAACTAATAGGACAAATATTTTGAACAAAAATATAGGTGATAGCTCACTTGTGGAATTCCCACAATATTATGGCATGCTTCTATTTGTTGCATAACAAGAGGACGAGAAGGAGCAGCAAACACAATCTTTCCTGCAATCAGAACATTACATAAGAACAGGAGCATCCATTCCGTATAGATACATGCTGGCTTTTTATGAAATCAACTTACAAAGTTTTGAAATTCACATATAAATTTATGTGATTAGATTATAGATGAGAGATAGCTATAGATATTATAAACTAGAATAGTATTATCGTATGTTGTTTTTAAACGTTTTAAGCTATGAGGTTAGTCATCAAATAACTACTTTAAGTTATTTTAGTAATTAGTAGCCAACAACTTTCTAATAGAGCTTAAGATGATACCTGATTGCAAAAAAAAATATTCTCCATATAAACACACTAAGTATAACATAGATATCATGCTTACAAGAAACAATCAAGAAAATTAAACAGAATTTAAGAAAGTTTGTTTATAACTTTTTAGAAAATTCCCTCGTTTGGGGGATATTAAAATACCAACTTACATATTATAAAAAAACGGACATCAGCCATTCAAAACAATATGTGGTATTTGAAAGAAGAGACAAAAGACTAGAGGAAAACAAACAGGTTATGCATTTTCAAGCTTTTGTAATCTGCTATAATGACCAACTCGTGTTTAAACAAGTTCGAAGTGAAAAAAAGGACGTAGATCGACTGAAGTATCTCAGAGAAGCATGTTTCTTGTAATGAGGTGCGCTTTTGGCGCCTTTCAGGGCATATGGTCAAATGAGAAGGAAGCATAAATGCAAATCAATAAACATATAGTCCAGATGATGTTACCATTTAACCCTTCAGCAAGATTAGTAGTTGTGCATAAACATGATGACCTATGTAACAACAGGAAAAAACGAGAAGCAATTAAAACAGTCCAGCATCAAATGCAACAAATAATCCACGACATGCAAAGAAAAAACTGAATATCTGGAGAAGCCAAAATACTATAATAATCTATAAAGTAGATAGAATTATTGAAGACATGTCATCACCATCAGGAAACCATCTGAAGTAATTATACATCACAACAGCAGCAATAAGAGTCTTCCCCAGTCCTGTAGGCAACGACACCAATGTATTTGAAAATAAAGCCGTCCTGGTAATGGATACCTGATATTCACGAACAGGAACATTTTCTGCCAGGAAAGATCAAGAATATAAGCTTGAGAATGCAAATATTTACAAAAATGTACTTCCCTAGATAGCATTAATAGCCACATTGGGTCAAACTTTGGTACATGTAATGCATTTGAATAAACAGGATAAATTAAAACCCATACAAGAATCAAACCTCCCGAACTAATTTGAATGATAATAATTATCTTCCTTTCACTCGAGTGAATTCAAACTTCCTGAACTAATTTTCTCTTCTGTATTAATGCGATAACAAAGACATGATCACGGTAAGCTTCAGCATTTTGAATGTGAAGCAAATGCTAAATGGCTTGGCACTTGCAGTATATATTTACATGTTGCAAAATTTTGACTTGTATCTCTTCGCATCTTGAATTTACAAAGAAAAATATGGACAAGAGTCCCTAACAACTTGTGCAACACTAACTACCAAAAGCTAGAATTAAATCAGCAGCAAGCTAATCTCAGCTATCAGTTACTGCACCTCAACAACCTCAATAACAGTTCAATGAACAGTCTGTTAGGCATGCATATGCATCAATAGTAGCTTAAGTGTCCCCTGCCACCATTCTAGGTACCACTTTAATTATTCTAGGCACTGATGTGGTACTCTGATGGCAATATGAGCATCCCCATGGACTTATTATTACAGTCAAGTGTAAGTAAGTGTACCCCGTTTGAGATCAGTAAAATTTTATCAGAAATTTTTTTGAAACAAATGAAACTGTGCTTATAACAATTTCATCCTAATGATATTACAATACGGAACAAAAAGGACAATATACAGGATGGGTAGAAAGAGTTGTGATACCTGTCTCTATCCAGGGAAACTACAGGATCTAAAAGAATATCCCAATCCTAAGGATCCATAGGATTAATTGTGGATCCAACACAAAAATAGAAAGATTTGAGTTGTTTAGTCTTCGAGTTTTTATTTTAAATTTTCTATATCTATACTATATAAGTATGTATCTATCTAAAATATATGCATGTTGGATTCGGCTCAATCCTTTTAGTAAAAGATTGGGCCGAGTTTAATTGAAATTCAATTATGCAAGCACTACACTTGTAAACTACTCGTGCTTTTTGGTGCCTACAGCAGGAAGGTTTAATGTCTCTTGGGCACTTGGGCTCACAGACCAAAGCCTTGACTCATCATCAAATTGTTGTTTGCACCTCAAAATTAACTATTTGAGATCCAGTCGTATGAAGAGACAATAGGATGGTAACATATGAATTTGCATTACAGCTAAATCCCAAAAACATTTTCTATTCCTCTCCGTGCTACCCAAAAAAGAAACTGAAGGACTAAGTTGATCAAGCGAACTATCCAGAGTAAGAAATTGTCAAGAGCATGCTAGAAACACTCAAATGCCATGAAAGTGGCATTCGAAGAGATCATCCTAGTGGATTAGTGAACTCATGACATGCCAAAAATTGCTACCTAAAAGAATGCCACAACTATTACCACCGAGCAATTGTCATTCTTAAAGAGCAACAACTAAGCAAATGAAGATTGTGTTCATGAATAAGAAGTAGAATTTCTTCAAATAGTTCAGGGATGAAATCAAGCAACCATTGATATTCATTGATCATCATATGAAGGGGAGGAAACCGTCTCTAGGGTAGCATTCAGAGCAAGTAATTTGTGGCAATTAACTAGTTAGTTGTTAAGTTGTTTGCTAAGATCTATGTATCACAAGGCAGCGAAACAGTGTGAGTTTTATAATGATCAATGTTCCTATAATTGCTTTTGACTCTGGTTTAAGATGGTTAACGCTTATTGTTTGTGTTTCACTACACTCATAAATTCTTGCAAGTCAATGAGTTTTGTCATCACCGCATCTGTTAGAAGTATCAAAGGAGACAAGATCAAGGTTATAAAGTAGAATAGAAAGAAGTTTGCTTTAGGTTTAGCCATTGGTCACCACAAGAATTGGAGATTCAAACCACAAGGGTGGTGCTTGATTGGTTTGAGCTTGGCTCCAAAGGTCAAAAGTACAAGGAGGTCCCAGGTTCAAATCCAAGGAGGAATAAAAATCCCCTTGGCCACGGAGGTTCAAATGCGGTGACTCCGGACTATCTGCGAAGCAGGTGGTCGCCCTGGGATTAGTCGGCTAGCATAGCGGGTTGGATATCCAGGTTAGTCAAAAAAAAAATGGAGATTCAGTGGATGATGGTGTGCTTAAATCTCAATACTTTTTGCCAGATCATCATTTCTCCTACATCATCTCCATTGTTATGCACTTTTGTGTTTCAAAAAGAAATAAAAACCCATACTTTCACTTTATACGTTAAATCCTTTTGAATGAAAAGACATGTTTTGTGGTAAATTTGATACCAGCATTACTCTGTTTAGTATTAATTATGATTTTTGACTTGGTTGTAACTATTTTCTTTAAATATTTAATACCCTTTACTAACTTCTACAATCAACAGTAACCAACCTGATCAAATTCAATATCTATTTTTTCTTTGTAACAAAGGGAATGATTGGTATTAGGTTGTACTGGTGAACACTGAAGAACAAAACCGATGCCAGAATCAAAATTTAACAACTCAGTAGACCCAGAAAAGAATAAACAATAACAGCAATGCAAGATAAAGTTATATTAAATAAAATATAATACCTGGGTATATCCAGGTTTTGGCCGCCTCGTGGTCAATGCTAACGCTGCTAACTCTTTCATCGTCACACTCAGCCTTATCTTGAGCATCATGTCTGGCATCCTGATTGACAGATTTTAAGCCTGTGAATCCAATGTATCGATCAAGTGTAGATTGACGAGAAGAAGTGGGTTTGTTGTTTTCAGTCTTAGGGCAAGAATCCATATGTAAATTAGAACTTCCAAATGGGGTTGCGCTAGTAGTAGTAGTAGCAGCAGCAGTAGATGAGAACTTATTAGCAGCCTCTTCATAAGCGACATCAATCGCTCTAACAGCTGCTTCCCAATCAAAATCCTAACGCAAAAAAGTGAATTCAAAATCAAGAACTGTTGACAGAAATTCAATGGGGTTTTGTGAGAGAAATGAATAAAGTAAGTAGTTACATCGTCATCATCAATCATCTGAACGGGAGCAGCTGACGCCATGTTTGTTACAGGCACAATCGAGTGAGTATGTGAAGCGGCAATTGAGAGAAGAGAAACCCCTTGGCCATAGTAAATAGGCGGCAAAATTGTGATATGAAAGTACAATGGGCGTATGTAAAGAACGGGTTTTCACAGGATAAAAATCGGGTTCTGAAGTTATAAAAACGTTGTGCACACTCACGGTGGCAATATTTTCTTTTAACAAATAACTAGTTGTGTACCCGCGCAATACGGCGAGAGCTATGAATTTTAACGATTTTGAAGTTTCACTGATTTTATAAGATAAATTTAACGATTATATAGGTTAGACTTGGTCTTTACATATTAATACAATTTGAATAAATAAGAGTTATAGTTTCAATTACAGACTAACGATGAAAAAATTGTATGACAGTTTAAAATCTAATATATTTAAAATCCAACATATTTAAACGACTCCACAAATGTGTTCGATTTACAC